TTATCCATGGTCAAAAATTTTGGACTAAGCCCGGCCCATATTGGACCAGTCCATGGATGCTCCATGGATAGTCCAGCGCACATGAATGAAATTAACTCCGATGAAAAAATTCCTGTTATTTATCGTATGCCCAATATTGATTCTATCCGGCGTTTTATATGACATATGTGATACTTTGCACAAATGATTACGTAATCTTGTGCCAAAATATCATGACAAAAAAAATTCACATCATCTTATAAAAAGTCGGATAGCTAAACTATAATGAACTAGGTTGTATAATGGAAAAGGACGCCAGTGGCGTCCCACTTGTAACATTGTGATTTTATTCCGATTATAATTCTGATTATTTAGTTGATTTACCACCCTATTACGGAAAGGTCTTCCGTTATAGGCGTCGTAAAAATTCAAAAAAGGAAATTTTGATGATAATTTTCATTGTTTAAATTTCCTTATTTGAAATTTGACGTCATCTACAGCTCCAGCCCATTATACTACGCAGAAATATTGAGATAAAGCTTACCAAATTTATATACCTAATACGGGATTATAACTTGATTTTAGTATGAGGTTTAAAAAACCTTATTTCCAAAATTTTATTGAGATCAACAAATTTGGCATTTCCAAATGAGCTATATCTGATGCGTGATATTCATGTAAAAATTCACGGCTCTATAAACATTGCAATTTTTTTTTTAATAAAGTATAATCATCCATTACTTGCAGTCCGCAAGGATGAATTGTGATAGTACCCAAACCCTCACAAATAAAGTCAATCTAGATAATAAGTTTGAACCTTATATTTTAGTTGAAGATAAAATTTCGGGACTTTTTGAGAAACCCAAAACACATAAAATTTCTTTCAATTATGACGACGCAGCAAGTCCTAAAAAGACAGTTTTCGGGGGTATTAACTGTACTAACGGCTTTGCAGCAGCCATTTTCAATGCCTATAACTATCACAAACATTTATGTTTAAGTCCTGATGATATTTGGAATACCATTGTTCAAGGCGTTAGTCATCATATTAATTATAATTTGGAGAAGTTCCGTCACAGATTTGTTAAACATGAAGGAAAAAAAGAAATTGATGTTTATGTTGGCGATGTCGTATCTGAAAAGACTCTTAAAGGTGATTGGCGAGAAGCTGTAAATAGACTTGTCAAGAAAACTGATGAACATGTGGAAAAAATTGAACTTAAAGAATTATTAGAATGTAATTTTTCAACAACAACTTCAACCAGCTTAACAGCAAGCCGTATTGTATTATTAGATACGGTTAAGGCATACTTCCAGTATAAAGTCTCAACTATTTGTGGAATTCCAAAAGTTACACTTGAGGGAACTCTCGATGATTGGAATAAGCTTCAAGAAAAAGTTAGTCAATTAAGAAAATTAAATTTAGAGCTTGATTTTTGGTTAGATCGTCTTGAACCTGTGATTTGGAAATTAGTAGAAACTTATCGTGGTGAGGTTGATGAAGATTTTTGGGGCAGGATCATTAATATAAATACAGTATTCGGTTCAGGAGGAGGTACTTTTATTTCAGGGTGGATGTTAGCTTTCTTTCCTTATGATCGTTCAGCAAGGACTTTGCCATACCACAATATGGAAATTCCTGATATTCCCGATGGCATGATTCAAGTTCCTTTTACTATTGATACTGGTTACTCTTTGAAATTTATAGCTGGGTTTGTCGGTGCTAATCAAGAGATGCTTAAAAATTCTAATGAATCGGTTGTTTCTCCTGTGATCGGATGGTTTATTACTGATAATGTGGATGATAAGAGCGATTAAATTTTGAAATTTTTACACCATCGTACAGTGGGGTGTCAATCATTAGTAATAATAATATACTGATCCGTTGTGAATTAGCGGAAACGAAGTTTGCGCTTATTCACATACGGTCATGGTATTATTAATTAATCCTCCCGTGATCTTGATATAGTGATCGGGGGATTAATACAATTACAAACTAGCTAGTATTTTTTTTTTCTAGTATCACAGGAACTGGAAAGTTATAAATTTTATTGGTCAAATGTTAGAAAAGGTTTTATATTGGGTAATTATTTTTGAACCCGGACCAATTATATATGACATAATAACATTTTGGTCTGGATTCAAAAATAATTATCCATATACGTTGTCTTGACTATTTTCTTTTCATTACAATAATAAACTTACTTGACTGGCTAAACTATTTTCAAATTGAGCTTCGACTTATTCTTATCTCTTAAACCGTTTCTCCTGCAAATTTGCCCTGAAATTTTTTTAAAAGCATTATTTTTAAAATAAAATCTTA